CATGTCATGATGAAATTTTTGAGGTGCCTCAAAACATGTCATGATGGGATTTTTGAGGTGCCTCAAAACATGTCATGATGGGATTTTTGAGGTGCCTCAAAACATGTCATGAAGGGATTTTTGAGGTGCCTCAAAACATGTCATGATGGGATTTTTGAGGTGCCTCAAAACATGTCATGAAGGGATTTTTGAGGTGCCTCAAAACATGTCATGATGGGATTTTTGAGGTGCCTCAAAACATGTCATGATGAAATTTTTGAGGTGCCTCAAAACATGTCATGATGGGATTTTTGAGGTGCCTCAAAACATGTCATGAAGGGATTTTTGAGGTGCCTCAAAACATGTCATGATGGGATTTTTGAGGTGCCTCAAAACATGTCATGATGGGATTTTTGAGGTGCCTCAAAACATGTCATGAAGGGATTTTTGAGGTGCCTCAAAACATGTCATGATGGGATTTTTGAGGTGCCTCAAAACATGTCATGATGGGATTTTTGAGGTGCCTCAAAACATGTCATGAAGGGATTTTTGAGGTGCCTCAAAACATGTCATGATGGGATTTTTGAGGTGCCTCAAAACATGTCATGAAGGGATTTTTGAGGTGCCTCAAAACATGTCATGATGGGATTTTTGAGGTGCCTCAAAACATGTCATGGTGGGATTTTTGAGGTGCCTCAAAACATGTCATGATGGGATTTTTGAGGTGCCTCAAAACATGTCATGATGGGATTTTTGAGGTGCCTCAAAACATGTCATGAAGGGATTTTTGAGGTGCCTCAAAACATGTCATGATGGGATTTTTGAGGTGCCTCAAAACATGTCATGATGGGATTTTTGAGGTGCCTCAAAACATGTCATGATGGGATTTTTGAGGTGCCTCAAAACATGTCATGATGGGATTTTTGAGGTGCCTCAAAACATGTCATGAAGGGATTTTTGAGGTGCCTCAAAACATGTCATGATGGGATTTTTGAGGTGCCTCAAAACATGTCATGAAGGGATTTTTGAGGTGCCTCAAAACATGTCATGAAGGGATTTTTGAGGTGCCTCAAAACATGTCATGATGGGATTTTTGAGGTGCCTCAAAACATGTCATGAAGGGATTTATGAGGTGCCTCAAAACATGTCATGATGGGATTTTTGAGGTGCCTCAAAACATGTCATGGTGGGATTTTTGAGGTGCCTCAAAACATGTCATGATGGGATTTTTGAGGTGCCTCAAAACATGTCATGATGGGATTTTTGAGGTGCCTCAAAACATGTCATGGTGGGATTTTTGAGGTGCCTCAAAACATGTCATGATGGGATTTTTGAGGTGCCTCAAAACATGTCATGAAGGGATTTTTGAGGTGCCTCAAAACATGTCATGATGGGATTTTTGAGGTGCCTCAAAACATGTCATGATGGGATTTTTGAGGTGCCTCAAAACATGTCATGAAGGGATTTTTGAGGTGCCTCAAAACATGTCATGATGGGATTTTTGAGGTGCCTCAAAACATGTCATGAAGGGATTTTTGAGGTGCCTCAAAACATGTCATGAAGGGATTTTTGAGGTGCCTCAAAACATGTCATGAAGGGATTTTTGAGGTGCCTCAAAACATGTCAATGGGACGGACAGGAAGGCGCCCCGTGATGAGATCAAAGAGCAAGATGCCCACGGCAACATCAACGGCTCAAAGAGCTCCGTAATGGACAGTGGCAGAGCAGAGCTCACGGCAATGGTCATGAGTATCTCCCGCGCAATGTGCCCGCGGCCAAGTCCACACTCTTCCCCAGCTGCTCCACCATCCATTATCAGCACCCTCGCTACAAGTACAACGAAAGGCTATGTGTGCCTATGGCATGGCCAATCAAGACCCACCTGTACACGACAGTGGCAGAGTTGATCTCGCCAGTCATCAGTATCTCAGGTGCCATGTGACCATGAGTGCCCATGGCCACATCAACGATCTCCCCCACCCGCTCCACCATCCATTGAAGACACACCCTCATCACAAGCATACCCTCACTACACCACATCTCCGCTACAATCACGCACCTGTACACATCGGTGGCAGAGCTGATCTCTCCAGTCATCAGTATCTCTGGTGCCATGTGCCCATGAGTGCCCATGGCCACATCCACGCTCTCCCCAAGTCGCTCCACCAGCTCGCCTGTCACTGGGTCCTCCACCTTGATGGTCTGCTTGATCAGCTTCGCACACCCAAAGTCCGCCACCTGAGTGTGTGTAGGGGGGAAGGAGGCGGAGGAAGGGAGGGACCCTTAGTGCTCCCCCGTCACTGGGTCCTCCACCTTGATGGTCTGCTTTATCAGCTTCGCACACCCAAAGTCCGCCACCTGTGTGTGTTGGCACGGGGGAAGGGCAAATGGAAGTAAGGAAAGAGCGTCTTCCCTTGTTCCCTTGTCACTGGGTCCTCCACCTTGATCGTCTGTTTGATCAGCTTCGCACACCCAAAGTCCGCCACCTGAGAGTGTGTAGGGGGGGAGGGCGGTGGAAGAAGGGAGGGGACCTTAGTGCTCCCCTGTCACTGGGTCCTCCACTTTGATCGTCTGCTTGATCAGCTTCGCACACCCAAAATCCGCCACCTGTGTGTGTTGGCACGGGGGAAGGGCAAATGGAAGTAAGGAAAGAGCGTCTTCCCTTGTTCCCTTGTCACTGGGTCCTCCACCTTGATCGTCTGTTTGATCAGCTTCGCACACCCAAAGTCCGCCACCTGAGAGTGTGTAGGGGGGGAGGGCGGTGGAAGAAGGGAGGGGACCTTAGTGCTCCCCTGTCACTGGGTCCTCCACTTTGATCGTCTGCTTGATCAGCTTCGCACACCCAAAATCCGCCACCTGTGTGTGTTGGCACGGGGGAAGGGCAAATGGAAGTAAGGAAAGAGCGTCTTCCCTTGTTCCCTTGTCACTGGGTCCTCCACCTTGATCGTCTGTTTGATCAGCTTCGCACACCCAAAGTCCGCCACCTGAGAGTGTGTAGGGGGGGAGGGCGGTGGAAGAAGGGAGGGGACCTTAGTGCTCCCCTGTCACTGGGTCCTCCACTTTGATCGTCTGCTTGATCAGCTTCGCACACCCAAAATCCGCCACCTGTGTGTGTTGGCACGGGGGAAGGGCAAATGGAAGTAAGGAAAGAGCGTCTTCCCTTGTTCCCTTGTCACTGGGTCCTCCACCTTGATCGTCTGTTTGATCAGCTTCGCACACCCAAAGTCCGCCACCTGAGAGTGTGTAGGGGGGGAGGGCGGTGGAAGAAGGGAGGGGACCTTAGTGCTCCCCTGTCACTGGGTCCTCCACTTTGATCGTCTGCTTGATCAGCTTCGCACACCCAAAATCCGCCACCTGTGTGTGTTGGCACGGGGGAAGGGCAAATGGAAGTAAGGAAAGAGCGTCTTCCCTTGTTCCCTTGTCACTGGGTCCTCCACCTTGATCGTCTGTTTGATCAGCTTCGCACACCCAAAGTCCGCCACCTGAGAGTGTGTAGGGGGGGAGGGCGGTGGAAGAAGGGAGGGGACCTTAGTGCTCCCCTGTCACTGGGTCCTCCACTTTGATCGTCTGCTTGATCAGCTTCGCACACCCAAAATCCGCCACCTGTGTGTGTTGGCACGGGGGAAGGGCAAATGGAAGTAAGGAAAGAGCGTCTTCCCTTGTTCCCTTGTCACTGGGTCCTCCACCTTGATCGTCTGTTTGATCAGCTTCGCACACCCAAAGTCCGCCACCTGAGAGTGTGTAGGGGGGGAGGGCGGTGGAAGAAGGGAGGGGACCTTAGTGCTCCCCTGTCACTGGGTCCTCCACTTTGATCGTCTGCTTGATCAGCTTCGCACACCCAAAATCCGCCACCTGTGTGTGTTGGCACGGGGGAAGGGCAAATGGAAGTAAGGAAAGAGCGTCTTCCCTTGTTCCCTTGTCACTGGGTCCTCCACCTTGATCGTCTGTTTGATCAGCTTCGCACACCCAAAGTCCGCCACCTGAGAGTGTGTAGGGGGGGAGGGCGGTGGAAGAAGGGAGGGGACCTTAGTGCTCCCCTGTCACTGGGTCCTCCACTTTGATCGTCTGCTTGATCAGCTTCGCACACCCAAAATCCGCCACCTGTGTGTGTTGGCACGGGGGAAGGGCAAATGGAAGTAAGGAAAGAGCGTCTTCCCTTGTTCCCTTGTCACTGGGTCCTCCACCTTGATCGTCTGTTTGATCAGCTTCGCACACCCAAAGTCCGCCACCTGAGAGTGTGTAGGGGGGGAGGGCGGTGGAAGAAGGGAGGGGACCTTAGTGCTCCCCTGTCACTGGGTCCTCCACTTTGATCGTCTGCTTGATCAGCTTCGCACACCCAAAATCCGCCACCTGTGTGTGTTGGCACGGGGGAAGGGCAAATGGAAGTAAGGAAAGAGCGTCTTCCCTTGTTCCCTTGTCACTGGGTCCTCCACCTTGATCGTCTGTTTGATCAGCTTCGCACACCCAAAGTCCGCCACCTGAGAGTGTGTAGGGGGGAGGGCGGTGGAAGAAGGGAGGGGACCTTAGTGCTCCCCTGTCACTGGGTCCTCCACTTTGATCGTCTGCTTGATCAGCTTCGCACACCCAAAATCCGCCACCTGTGTGTGTTGGCACGGGGGAAGGGCAAATGGAAGTAAGGAAAGAGCGTCTTCCCTTGTTCCCTTGTCACTGGGTCCTCCACCTTGATCGTCTGTTTGATCAGCTTCGCACACCCAAAGTCCGCCACCTGAGAGTGTGTAGGGGGGGAGGGCGGTGGAAGAAGGGAGGGGACCTTAGTGCTCCCCTGTCACTGGGTCCTCCACTTTGATCGTCTGCTTGATCAGCTTCGCACACCCAAAATCCGCCACCTGTGTGTGTTGGCACGGGGGAAGGGCAAATGGAAGTAAGGAAAGAGCGTCTTCCCTTGTTCCCTTGTCACTGGGTCCTCCACCTTGATCGTCTGTTTGATCAGCTTCGCACACCCAAAGTCCGCCACCTGAGAGTGTGTAGGGGGGGAGGGCGGTGGAAGAAGGGAGGGGACCTTAGTGCTCCCCTGTCACTGGGTCCTCCACTTTGATCGTCTGCTTGATCAGCTTCGCACACCCAAAATCCGCCACCTGTGTGTGTTGGCACGGGGGAAGGGCAAATGGAAGTAAGGAAAGAGCGTCTTCCCTTGTTCCCTTGTCACTGGGTCCTCCACCTTGATCGTCTGTTTGATCAGCTTCGCACACCCAAAGTCCGCCACCTGAGAGTGTGTAGGGGGGGAGGGCGGTGGAAGAAGGGAGGGGACCTTAGTGCTCCCCTGTCACTGGGTCCTCCACTTTGATCGTCTGCTTGATCAGCTTCGCACACCCAAAATCCGCCACCTGTGTGTGTGTGCAGGGGGAAGGGAGAGGGGAAAGGGATGAAGCCTTGTTGTTGCCCCTAGACTGGGTCCTCCACTTTGATTGTCTGCTTGATCAGCTTCGCACACCCAAAGTCCGCCACCTGTGAGCATGCGTAGAGGGGAACGGAGGCGGAGGAAGGGAGGGACCCTTAGTGCTCCCCCGTCACTGGGTCCTCCACCTTGATGGTCTGCTTGATCAGCTTCGCACACCCAAAGTCCGCCACCTGAGTGTGTGCAGAAAGAATGGGCAATCATGTTGAGACACTGAGGCGATTTGGCCGGGAATAAGAGAGAATCATCCTCTCCTCTCCCTTGTTTGCATGTCCATCTTGATGGTGTGCCGGATCAGCTTCGCACACCCAAAATCCGCCACCTTAGCACACTAGCAGTGTTCTTAGTGTGCTCTGGTGGAGAACACTAGAAGAAGTATAAGTCTCACTCGCACATCATCATACCCCTCTTCAATGTACACACTCCATCAATCCACCCACCTTGGCGGCAAAGTTATCAGTGAGAAGGATGTTGGACGACTTGATGTCGCGGTGGAGGATCTGAGGTCGCTGCGAGTGCAGGTACTGCAGCCCCCTCGCCGACCCCACGGTTCACCTCATGGATAGAGCACTTGCTTGATGCACTGACGCATCAGCACACACCTCATCAATCCACGCACCTTGGCGGCGAAATTATCAGTGAGCAGGATGTTGGAGGACTTGATGTCGCGGTGGAGGATCTGAGGTCGCTGCGAGTGCAGGTACTGCAGCCCCCTCGCCGACCCCACGGCTATCCGCAACCGCCGCTCCCACGAGAGCGGCCCGTTCTCCTCCCTCTTCTTGCCTGCGATAGCAGGAACGGGGAGAGGGGGAGAGGGGGAGGGAGGGGCGGGGGAGTGGGACAAGGGGTGCAGGTATGTGCACTCGTCGTTTGGAGTTCTCAAAAACGGCTCTAATAGCTGGGGCCGCTGCGAGTGCAGGTACTGCTGTAGGCCTCTCGCGGACCCCACGGCTATTCGCAGCCGCCGCTCCCATGAGAGCGGGCCGTTCTCCTCCCTATTCTTGCCTGCGATAGCGAGAACGGGGAGTGGGGGAGAGGGGGAGGGAGGGGCGGGGGAGTGGGACAAGGGATGAGGGCACTCCGTATGTGCACTCGTCGTTCAAAGTTCTCAGAAATGGCTCTAATAGAGCTGAGGCCGCTGCGAGTGCAGGTACTGCAGGCCCCTCGCCGACCCCACTGCTATCCGCAGCCGCCGCTCCCACGACAGCGGCCCGTTCTCCTCCCTCTTCTTGCCTGTGATGGTGGGGAGAGAAGGAGTGGGGGATCAAAGGAAAGAGGTGAGTAGGCTGAATCATGCGGTGAGTGAGCTATAGGGAAGGCACTGGTGCTACACCCTGTGACATGTGGTCTGTGACATTATTTCTGGTACGATACATTATCTCTCTGACAGCTGCACAGCAGCACTCCAACACACCGTGCATGTGGTCAGTGAGCGAGCCATTGGGCAGGAACTGGTAGACGAGCAGACAGAAAAGAAATACTCATGCTTACTAAGAAGCTCAATCATACCACACAGCCACTACAACCAACAAACAATTACCAGAATGTGAACGCACCGTGCATGTGGTCAGTGAGAGAGCCGTTGGGCAGAAACTGGTAGACGAGCAGGCGCTGCTGTGATCGCATGCAGAACCCAAACAGCTTCACCTGGGGAAGGGGGGGAGTGGGGGATAGAGATAAATGGGGTGTGAGCACGGGACAGAGAGATGGGCTTTGAGACATTTCAACAGAGGAAGGAACTGGTAGATGAGCAGGCGCTGCTGCGATCGCATGCAGAACCCAAACAGCTTCACCTGCACGGGAGGAGGAGAGGAGGAGAGGAGGAGAGGATGAGAAGGAGAGAGACGCAGTGTAGCTGAGGGAGCGGGAAAGGCGTGGGAGAGAGGGAACGCAGAAATACTCGGGCATCTCACCGCACCTGGTGCTTGTGCCTTCTCATCAGGCCAGGAGTATGTGCCCTCACCAACCAGGAGATAGCCGTGCCGTGCCCTGCACTGCGCATACAAGGTGTTTGTGCTCCAGTCGGCTGAGCAGCTGCAGCTCAATCGTGAACTCCTCATTGTGTCGGGTATCGAGACACCTCGGAACGAAGTTGTTGTGCATACCCGGTGCTTGCTAGCTAGACCCCATCCCAGTCTCACCAGGTGTTTGTGTTCTAGTCGGCTGAGCAGCTCCAGCTCAATCGTAAACTCCTCATCGCCCTGAGATCCTCCCCTCGTCAGCACCTTCACCGCCACCACCTGGAAACGGGGGGGAGGGGAGGAGGGGAGGACGGGGGCGGGGGGGGATAAGAGTAGTTACACAGAAGGGCGAACTCCTCATCGCCTTGCGACCCGCCCCTCATCAGCACCTTCACCGCCACCACCTGGAAATGGGGAGAGAAGGCGGAGGGGAGGAGAGGGGAGAGGGTATGTGTAGTATACCTTCCCAAAGCCACCTTAGATGAGCAGCACATTGGCCTTGTAAGCCCCCTCAGGCAAAGCCTCAATAAACGCTTACAGCACCCATAGCCCACGGGCAGCACCCCGTGGTACACCTTCCCCCCCTGGCCCAGCACACTGACGTTGTAATTTGTGACCCCTCTACCGCACTGGCTGGCTGGTAACCTGGAGTCTCAAATCCTACCTGCGCTGGCTGCACGGGCAGCACCCCATAGTAGACCTTCCCAAAGCCGCCCTGGCCCAGCACATTGGCCTCGTCGAAACTCCCCGTCGCCAGCTGAGATGGGGAGGGCGAAAGATGAGGGGTGAGGGGTGAGGCCAGGGTGACGGGTGAGGTGAGGTGAGGGCATGGGGAGGGGTGAGCGAAGGGAAAGGGGCGATGGGAAGGGGAGGGCTGATGGAAGGGAGAGGGGTGATGCGAGGTGATGCGAGGCGGAGGGGTGATGCGAGGCAGAGGGGTGATGCGAGGCAGCGGGGTGATGCGAGGCAGAGGGGTGATGCGAGGCAGAGGGGTGAGAGGAGGCACGGATGCCCCATGCCCAATTTCCCATCGATAATGCACCATGCCTCCCCGATTCCAAACCCCATGATCCGTACTCCATTAGCAAGTGCGCGCACGAGTGATTGTGAGTGTGCGTGTGAGCATGAGTGAGAGAGTGTGAAAACGAGTGAGTGAGAGTAGGTGCAAGGATGCGTGATCAGGAGAATAAGCAGAAGAGTGACTGACACAACGAGTGGGAGGGCAAGCATGCTTACCTGGAGCTCAGAATATTGGAAATGCGTGCGTTTGGGTGCGGGCAGGTCCCCAAATGTCTTCTCTGGCCGTTCAGGCCCGTCCTTGTGCCTTGAGAGGGTGAGCGACCTGCAGTGCAGGCATGACAGGCCAAAAGAGGAAGATAATAAACAAGAACGAAATGAATTCATTCTTGTTCCTTGATTATTATCTAGGGCATGCCCCCTAGGCGTGGCAGGCGTAAGGAACAATGGCAGAGGAACCTTGGCACGGCAGACATGCCACCATGGTATGTATGTACCCTTTTGTTTCCCCATCCCCACCTTGGCATGGAGGGCATGGAGAGCGACGGCATGGACCTCTCCTTTTCCGTTGCTGATCGTCCAGGTTTGGGCGGTCTCTTCCCCACCGTCGCACTGATGCCCGCCCCCGCTGCGCTGATCCCCGCCCCTGCTACACTCAGCCCTGCCTAATCCCCTGGACACGGTACAAGGAGCGGACTCACCGTGGCATGGAGGGCATGGAGAGAGAAGGCATGGACCGTTCCTTCTCTGTGGCTGATCTTCCCGGTTTGGGCGGTCTCTTCCCCACTGTCGCACTGATACCCGCCCCCGCTGAGCTGATTTTCTCTAAACCCCAAGCCAAGTCACAGGGAGGGAACTCAACTCCTATGTTGAAAAAAACGCTCGGGCTTCTACGCGTATCACGTTTATACGAGAACGTATATACGGAAAAACGTGATACGTTCCGTAATCCGCGATACGTTTCGTCGGGCAGCCCAAAAAAAAAGAGTAAAAATCTGTTGCCGCTGATTCCGTGATCTGAAATTTTGTGAAACCTAATTTTGAGATTCGAAACTCGAATGCCCCCCTCCCCTCCCCTCCACCGCACATCACCTCACACCACCTCCCAAGCCCAACCTTCCCTTACGAGCTGCTCGCACGTAGGCGTGAGTACAACAGCAAATCTCATTTTTCTCACGCCAAGTTTAGTGCTATTGCTAGCAGCGGCGTCGCGTCACTTGCAGATCTTAGCAACCGCAATATTAGGACGATTCTAGCCAACAATTTCGTACTGGCATAAACCCCACGGGAGTTATCCGCATCAAGTATTGCTGAAGTTCTTTCCCTATAAGCATTCTACCTCAACTGAAATGTTTTTTCCCTGCCCTAGAAATTTTTTAACCTGCCTGATGCACCGTATTTCGAGGTTTTTTGTACGCTGGAAATTTGCGTATCGCGTATGTACGATACCGTATAGTTCGTACGCGTTCCGTACGCCATACGCGTATTTTGCAACATAGCTCAACTCACCTTGGCATGGAGGGCATGGAGAGCGACGGCATGGACCGTTCCTTCTCCGTGGCTGATCTTCCGGGCTTGGGAGGTCTCTTCCCCACTGTCGCACTGATGCCCGCCCCCGCTGCGCTAATCCCCGCCCCTGCTACACTCAGCCCTGCCGCACCAGCATAGCTTATTCCTGCGCCGGCTGAGCTGGCTGGAGGGGGGAAAGATGAGAGGAGAGGAAGGGGGAGGAGTGAAGAGATGAAAGTTGCCTGCCCCCGCTGCGCTGATATCTGCCCCTGCTAAGCTCAGCCCTGCCGCGCTCGCATATCTTATTCCCGCGCCTGCTGAGCTAGCTGTGGTGGGTGGTGACAGGCAGAGGGGAGGCGGGGGAGAAGAGGGGAGGAGAGTTGCAGGGACGAACGTGAGTTGCCTGCCCCTGCTACACTCAGCCTTGCCGCACCAGCATAGCTTATTCCCACGCCTGCTGAGCTAGCTGTGGTGGGTGGTGACAGGCAGAGGGGAGGCGGGGGAGAAGAGGGGAGGAGAGGGGCAGGGACGAACGTAAGTTGCCTGCCCCTGCTGCACTCAGCCCTGCCGCACCCGCATAGCTTACTTCTGCGCCTGATGAGCTAGCTGTGGTGGGTGGAACCAATGAGGGAGGTTGGGGACAGGGAGTAGGGGAGGGAGAGGGAAGGGGGAGATGTGAAGGGGAAAAAAGTCGCCTGCCTCTGCTGCACCCAGCCCTGCTGCACGACGTACCTGACTTTTTTAGCAGAGTGGTCAGCTTTGGCACAAGGTCCTTGCCCTGCTTCTTGATGTTGCGCGCTGTTTAAGGACATGCATTAATCAGGTCCTCTTCTGAAGTGCCTCAGACGACGTACCTGACTTCTTGAGCAGAGTGGTCAGCTTGGGAACCAGGTCCTTGCCCTGCTTCTTAATGTTGCGCAGAGACAGATTCCTGTCCAGGGAGATCTGCTGCTCTGCCTTCTTCACCTGCAGACTCAGATTCCGAGCCAGCGCTATCCCTGACAGACCCCCTCCTCCACCCCCTCCTCCCCCATTCCCGCCTGCACCTCCCCTACCAGCAGCCTCTGCACTTGCATCTGAAGCAGCCTCTGCTGCTGCCGCCCCTGCACCAGCACTAGCATCAGCACCAGCATCAGAACCAGCACCACTTGAATCCCCTCCTGCTATTCCCTCTGTTCCTCCTGTCTCCCCCTCATTCTCACCCGCACCCGCTGCTCCGCTAACCAGAGCAGCAGCAGCCACCAAATCGTCCTCCCCACTCCGCCCACTCCCCACTCGTCCCTCTCCGCCCTCCTGCTTGCCCTCCTCCCCGTCCCCCGCCCCACCTCCAGCGCCAGCTCTAACTCCTTCCTGAGAGCGCCCTGTGTCGCTGCCTTTGGCGGGTCTAGCCCCAGGATCCCCCGCCCCTCCTCCGCCCAGACCTGCCCTTGCCTGTTCCGCTCCGCCCACCCGCCCGTCCGCCCTTCCTGCTGAGTGCTCTCCCCCGCTCTGCTGCTCCGCGCCTGCCTGCGCGGACATGCGCCCTCCTGCACCGTTCTCAACCCCTTGGTTTCTCCCATTCGCCCCACGACCAGCAGCAGCAGGCGAGGAAGCCCTAGCAGAAGCGGTAGCAGCAGAAGCAGTACCGGCAGCAGCAGTACCGGCAGCAGCAGCAGCAGGCAAGCCAGTCACTGCACCCTCGCCAGTCACAGCATAGCCTCGCCCGGGAGACGCATGGCGTGGGCTGGCACGGCCACGTGTGGGAGAGGCATGGCCCGAGCCAGGTGCGAGACGAGCAAGCGTAGGAGACATATGCCCGTGACCAGGGGACACATACCCCAAACTACCGCTGCTGCTGGAATGCCCGTGCTGCCCATACTGCCCCTGCTGCCCATGCTGCCCCTGCTGCCCGTACTGCCCGTACTGCCCTTGCTGCCCCTGCTGCCCATGCTGCCCCTGCTGCCCGTACTGCCCGTACTGCCCTTGCTGCCCCTGCTGCCCATATGCCCCAACGCCACCATACCCAGCAGCAGGAGGGCCACCGCCTGAGACGCCAGGGGCTGAGCTTCTGAGAGGAGACAAGCAGTCGGGGCGACCAGCTGCGGCAGTGTGGAGAGGAATGCGCTCATCTGAGGCTGATGCTGAGACAGCAGCGCGTGCAGGGGAGAGAGATGAGGAACGGCGCCTCATTTCCTCTAGGTGCCGCGGGGAGTGGAACTCCTGGGGGGGGTTCTCAACTGACGGTTGTAACCTGTCTCCTGCTGCTGCTGCTGCTGGGGCAGCTGGTGCTGGTGTTGCTGTTGTGGTTGCTGCTGCAGCGGCAGTTGTTGTTGCTGAAGGGGCTGGTCTTGGTAGGGTTGTAGATGCGGCTGTGGCTGTGGTTGCTGCTGTTGCTGTTGCTGGCGTAGTTGCTGCTGCTGGTAGTACTGCTGTTGCTGGAGATACTCGTTGGGGTATTGCTGCTGGTAAAGCTGCTGCGGCTGATGCCCCTCAAAGTGCTGCTGCTGCTGCTGATGCCGCTGCTGCTGCACCATATGGTATCCCTGCTGCAGCTGCAGCTTCTGCTGCTGCATCTGCTGCTGCATTTCCTGAACCCCAACCCCCACCTGACCGCTCTCCACCACCCATGCACCATCACCACCCTCCACCGCATCCAACTCCTCCAAATCATCCACAGCATATGCCTCCAGCACTCCATCCTCGTCCTCCTCCGCTTCCAACCCGCCATACATCGCTTCCCCCTGCGCCTCCACCCTTCTCTCCCAACTGCTTCTCCCCATCCCCCCCTGCCCTAACCCCTGCCCTGCACTCTCCCCCGACGCATGCCCTATCCCCTGCCCCCATCCCTGCCCTGCCGTCTGCGTCCCCCTCGCCCTCCCCTGCCCCCCTGCTGCTACTGCCGGCCCTGTTGATGACGTGGACGCGGATTTTCTCCATGCGCCAGCCGCGGCCTTTTTCCCCGTGTTCCCCAACAGGACATCCATGGCCGCGGGCGGAACCGACGTCAAAAACTCCTCCCCGTCGTCCTCCTCCTCCTCCTCTTCCGCCGAATCCGACAGCCCCACGGACGCGGACCGCTGCACTCTCCCCCCGCCCGCGCTGCTCACGCGCGGAACCCCGCGCCTGGCGGAACCCGACCTGCTCCTGCTTCCGCTGCGCGGAACGCTGGATCTGCTGCGCCCTGCCCCCGCGCTCCCATGGCTGGCGCCGCTCGCGTGGCTCGAGCTCGTGTTTCCGCCGCTCTCTCTGTCTCGCTCACGTTCCCTCTCCCTCTCCACTTCCTGATCCCTCTCCCGATCCCATACTTCCGCTGACCCGTCCCATAAGTGGTCCGGCGTTCGTTCGGGATTCTGGAGATGATTTTGCGAGAAGGATCCGGCATAGGCTTGGGGGTGCGTTTGGGGAAAGTCTTGAGGGTAAGGCTCCCTGCCGCTGCTACTGCTGCTGATGAGCTGGGAGGGAGCAGGCGACGAGTTTTGATCTTCCTGCGGATGGTGAAGCAGATAATCCCTAAGCTCTTCCTCCGTGAAATCGCCTCCA